TTTTCATTTTTTTATTGGCCCCATTTTTTGGGGACTGCCGGTCGCCGGTGGGTACCCCGCGCGACGCGGCGCGTTAACGGCCGCGTCGATTTCCTCAAGCAGGGAGAGGTACTGGTGGCTTAAGGAGAGGAGGAGGGGAACGAAGATCTCCTTATTTTTTCGGGTAATACATGTAAATTACTGACGGTGGGATCACGAGTAGTGCACCGCAGGATTTGGGTCACTCAACTGCCCCACAAACTCGTTTCTATCCTATCCCGTTGCTAGTGGGACCTCGCCCCAGGAGGAAATTCGAGAAAAAAATAAAAAACGAGGATGAAAATGTGTTTTACTGATTTTTTGTTTTTTTTTCAGAATTTTGATTAAAAAAAAAAACTTCAGTAAGAAGTCTGGAAAAAAAGTATGTTGTACAACACTGCAGTGAAACAACTTTTGCCTGAGGGTCTTGGCGAAATTCCCAACCAAATTTGAGATAAAAATAAAAACAATGGCGGTACTACAGACTTCTGAAAAGTTGTACCGTAAAACTCGCTCTATAACGTACGTACGTTGTATTCGAATACAACGTACCCCATACGTTGTATTCGTATACAAGGTACGGATGTGTGTGCGCTAAGTAAGCAACTCCTGTAGTTATCGGAAACACCTGTAGTTTCCGGAAGGTCTCGCGCAGTCTGGTAGCGCATCTGTGAACACCTCCATCGCAGATTGTGCTTACTGCGTTTATTACCCGAGAAGGCAACTCCCAAGTACTTCTTAGCTGAATCAACCTGTGCGCTTACCGTCTATTTTAACTGGAAAGCCAACTCCACGTGCTTGGCTCAATCGACTTGAGTGTTGACCGTCTATGTTAACTGAAAAGCCACCCTGAGTGCTTGGCTGAATCAACTTGAGTGTTGACTACTTAGCGTTCATTACCTGAAAGGCAACTCCAAGTGCTTAGCTGAGACCTGAGCAATTGTGGTAATACTGTTAAGTAGCTAAATGAACACAGTTATTGCGGTTAGATGCAGGCGATGAGGTGTAGCTAAACGCATACCCACAGTAATTGCGGTTAGGTTCAGGCGATGAGATGTGAGTGCGCGCTTAAAACTGTTGTACTCAGTCGGCGGGAGTCTGAACACTTGAACGGCAGTGGACTCTGATCGAGATCCGGCCATGTCGTGCTGCAAGCATCCCGGTGCAGCCTTCTGGGCATTTGGGAGGGAGGAGGGGGGCGTGGGGGCGGCGGCTTCCTCGCGTGCATCCAGGAGCGCCACCTCTAACAGTATGCTTTCGTCGGTTTTCTGGTCGCTCCTGCCGTGTATAGTGACGGGCGCACTGTTGATGAGCTTATGCTGCGCTCCAGGTTGGGATCTCCTGCGGCCGCCGTATGCCTGTGGAACATGGAAACGGGTGAGCTCGCTCGTCGGAGGGGAAAGGCGCGTTCATGCTGTTCGCGATGCTGAAGCAGTGGGCTGTCAACAAGGCAATGACTGCGGCGGGCTGGACCGTGAGCGGGGGGGGGAGGAGGAGGAGGAGGAGGAGGACGAGGGGAATTGGCGGGAGGACGAGGGGAATTGGCGGCGGGAGTATCTGGGGGAAGAAGGGAGGAGCGGGAAACAACAACGGCGATTTTGGGATAACAAGTACGAAAGTTGGCAGCGGTTGAGAGGAGTTAAAAGAGGAAGAGGAGGAGGGGGAGGAGAAGGAGGAGGGGGAGGAGGAGGAGGAGGAGGAGGAGGAGAAGGTGGTGGCTACTCCGACCGTTTCCAGGATGTGGCTGGTTTGTCGTGGAAGGGCGTTAATACCCGCCGACCTTCTGGACAAGGGGCTGATGGAGGAAGAGTTGTCAGTGGGGAGAAATGGCATCAAGGTGAGGAGGAGGAGGAGGAGGGGGAGGGAGAAGAAGGAATCGTGCGGTCGGAAGAAGGGAAGGAAGAGAGTTCAACGAAATATCCTTATGAGCGGAATGGTCCCTTCCACGTCGGCTCCGCAACACAGATTGGTGTCGCGATGAACGACTCAACTGCAGAGTGCTTCACTCCCTTCGTGAATCTCTGCTACGTGTCAGTTGATGTTTACTACCCCATTGCAGCCAATCACTCGGGGATCTCGAGATCGAAAGGCGACCTAGCAGCGGCGCCAGGATGGAGGAGAGGAGGCGGAGGAGGAGGAGGCGGTGGAGGAGGAGGAGGGTATGAAGGAGGGTACCCTTTGGCCATCTTCTCTCCCGGGTTCGGGTTGGGCACTGATAGCTATTCCAGTTTTGGCAGTCGGCTGGCTTCCTGGGGATACGTCACGCTCCTGTGGGCGCCCACCGTCGAGAACGCCTTCTTCTATCTGTCACACAGGTGAGTGGTCTTTTTTTTTTTTTTTTTTTTTTTTTTTTTTTTTTTTTTTTTTTTTTTCTAATGGGTAATGGCTTTGAGGCATCATCATCGAGCTGACCGGCGCTAGGTAACTCAGAGGGAATGTAGTCTTTTGCTCATCTGCTTCCACAGCAGTTCGAACTCAGGTAGGTCTGTATTTCAACAGTTCAGGTCAGGGGTGTTTGTACCAACTGAGCTAAGCCAGTTGGTGGTGAGGGGTCCGATCGGGTCGCGGCTTTTTTCGTCTCTTTTCTTTTTGAGAATTTCTTGTGCTGGCCCCGAATAAATCGCACCCTTAGTCTCAAGGAATGAATACAAGTGATCTTTCCAGTCCGATGCAGCCACGGTGTGGGTGCGTTATTTTGGGGGCAAGACGGTGGGGGGTTGCGACCGTCTTCCCCCGAACAGAAAACGTACCCTCATCGTCAATGCATACAATTGATCTCTCCAGTCAGATACAGTCAAGATGAGGGTGCGGGGTTGCCACCGTTTTGCCCCGCACACAACGTACCGTTGGCGTCCATGCATACAAGCGATCTTTCCAGTCAGATACAGTCAAGGTGAGGGTGCGGAGTGTTCGGGGGAACACGGTTGGGGTTTGCTGCCGTCTTCCCCGGAACAGAACGTGCAGCCCTCATCGTCAATGTATACAAGCGATCTTTCCAGTCCGATGCAGTCAAGATGAGGGTGCTTTGTTTTCGGGGTAAGACGGTAGAGTCTATCGAATGCATTTATCCGTTGCAGCAAAAGGCCAGAGGAGCGATCATTCAATCAGAAGGAAACGTTTCCACCGAAGTCCCCGAGCACGACGTGCCCTCGTCGTCAATACAAGCGATCTTTCCAGTCCAATACGTTCAAGATGATTGAACTGTACGAATTGTGTACGATCAATCAATCGAGCAATCAATCAATCGAGCTATCGATCAATCGATCGACTCATCGGTTGATTGATTGATGACGGGAGACCTCGAAGCGTCGAGAACGCAGTATCATCGAGGGTTGGCAGGTCTGAGTGCAGTTTTCTGTTTGCGATTGTGTATCACAGTATAGTCTAATCTGATCGCAGTACTTGCTTTCCGGATCGTCTCGGCACTGTACCCTTTATGCTGTTAACTGAATCAGTTACACGCGCTCGGGGTGTGTGTGTGTGTGTGTGTGTGTGTGTGAGAGAGAGAGAGAGAGAGAGAGAGAGAGAGAGAGAGAGAGAGAGAGAGAGCACTTCTTTCTTTCTGGATCGTCTTGGCATTGTATCCTTAATGCTGTTAACTGAATCAGTTACGCGCGCGGGCGTGTGTGCGTGTGTGTGCGTGTGTGTGAGTGTGTGTGTGTGTGTGTGTGTGTGTGTGTGTGTGTGTGTGTGTGTGAGAGAGAG